TTCCTCTTGCTGTTCCGGAGCTGTATTCCACACCGCCGCCGCCCGCCGACTACGCGTGCGCACCGATCTGCATGTCTTATATAGCCCGGTCCAGCGACGTAGCTTCGTGAACAACAAACAAGTCTCACGCCGGGAAACGAAGCGTAGATAATTGTATATTTTAAATAGTTTTCATTGGTCATAAAATAAGCAATATAATTGGCTAGGCAAAATATTAATTGTTACCATTGGCAAATCAATAGTGAGCCAGCCATATAAATATAGGCAAGGTTGATGCAAAATATATTCCCTTCCGAATCCCATTCGACAGTACCTTCATAAACATAAACAGTAGTTTCATTTCTCCACCTTAAAGAAAACCACTCGGAGTCTGTTAATAATGGACAGTTCGTCTCCACTATTACAACATGAACAGTCACACGAAATTAATAATAGTTTGTCTCAAACACTATATTTAGTGTTTGAGCCAAACTATTATTACTATTATACAACCTAAAACTTCCCCAGTTAGTATAAAAAACTGTACCAATTTCAATGTATATGTGAATTATAACTTTTATAAGAAATAAATGATAAGTTAGTTGAGTTTATTGAGCTTTTATTATTTTATTAAATTGGTTCATTTTTTCGCAACTGTATTAAAACAGTTGTTCAGTACACGTGCGGAACCGTCATTGCAACTTCTTCCGACTATCAACCCTCACCTTCTGCGCCTCGGCTCGGGTAGACATTTGTCGGAACTCTGCAATGATAGGCTTTCCGCACTCGTGATGAAATATACTATTTTCTTATTACGGGTATCTTATAACACGTTGTATAAATGCAGTGTCGCCCATAGAGTACTTTTTGTAGTCGCCTCTAGTACGTAGTACATAATAGCTCAATTTTTTTTAATGTTTTTCTCATCTATGTCACCAAAAAATAATTAGTGGATAAATAAATAAAAAAAAGAATGCGTACATAAAGGAAAGACGATATAATATTTCTTACAATATTTATTAAAATCGGATTTCAAGTTATTGAATAAGTCTTATACCTCTTCATTACTGAAAGAATAGTAAGGTCTGTTTGTGAAGAAGTGGAACATCATCATATTTAAAAAAATGTGTTTCTATAATACAGATTTAGTTCTGTTTATGTTTATGGGTATGGTCCTCTGAGGCTATCTTTCTGTTACGATTTTTTTTTATAAAATGCTTGCTTTAACTCCCTTGAGATGTACACTTTTTTATTATAAATTACTCATAATAGACAAGTAAATTATAAATCTTGACAATATTTTACATTCAGCTATACCACGTGCGTTTTCAGGCTCGCGTAAGTTAGGGTTGTGCTGTGTTGTGTCTATATTATCTTATGAAGTTTAAATATTACTCGTTTATACAATGTTCGTTAACATTTTAACAGTAAGTACGAAGATTAAGTTAGGCATTTATTTTATAAAGTATATCTCAGTTGAATTAAAAGAAACTTTTAAAAAAGTAAATACACAAGAGGAACGATTCAAGTTACGAACGCTTAGATAAGTCCAAAACACATTATATGACCACCAAAGATTTTAAACTAAAAACTTAACTTTCTAACATTTTATTTTATTACACATATACTTACAATAATCCAAAAATAACTTTGGGTGTTACATATCGCAATGTCGTATTTTAAACGTTACCTAAATCTTATTCAATTAATGTTAGAGCCGTAAATGCATAGGTACCTACTGTATTATTTGTTTGTTGTGGTACTTTAAGTAGGTAGTACGATTCTCTCGAATCGCTGCCTCATCGCTTTGGGTCAGGCGTCAAAACTGTGGTTTGTATAACTGATTAATCAGAAAAAAAGATGTTTTAGAGCGCGCCCGATGCATTGGTGTTGTCCGTTTAGCAATATATATTCAGGTTTTAGGATCCTGAGATAGGTTTCAAGACGTCCACTAATTAAGGCAACCAAATTCATGTACCGCTCTTAATTACGATAACATGGGCTTGCGATGTATTGTGTCCTCTAAAAGCTGCTTTTTAGGAGCGGCGGGTTATAAGAGTTCTAGTTTTTGAATCCCAACTATTACAATTTTTTTTCTAATTACAAGATCTAGTAAGTAATAAATCGATCCAACTTAAGGACTTGCAGTTTTATTATTTATAAAGAAAGTTTTCTATGTGACTTACAACGGTCTTGGACAGTTATTAAAAGTTAGTCAATAGCTAAAACTTCTTATGAATAATACTTACGGTGACTTCTACTAAGTGTAAGCGTTATTAAAAAAGTTTGATGTGATATTTTAGTCCACATTAAATAAATAGCTTTATTGGGATAAAACTTATATTTCGAATAAAACTATTATTTACGGATTTTATCGCGTTTAATTACTTTAATTTATTTTTATTATTATCCCAACGTTTCGGGTGCTTTACAGCACCCATGCATAAACAATAACATGCATAAACCACAAATTCTCGCAAAAGAACACCGATTCCTACCAAGGATGATACGCGAGGTTATTAAAATTAAAAAACATCCAAATTTCAATAGAGAAGATGGTTGGGTGCTACCATCTGCTTGGGATCCTATAATTAACAAAATTAAACCCAAACCCAAGCATACCACTGCAAGACTTCATGATACTATAAGCTCGTTTTGCGTAAATCGGACCAAAAATTAATATTAAAAAAAACTGAAGGTAGCCGGACTATGACATTGGGACGTCAAACATCTCAGTCCCCCCCGTGACCATGGGTGCTGTAAAGCACCCGAAACGTCGGGATAATAATAAAAATAAATTAAAGTAATTAAACACGATAAAATCAGTAAATAATAGTTTTATTCAATGTGTAGTGTTCGCGTAAATTTAAGAAATCATTATGATCTCATCTCAACTATTATTCGTGCAAGTACAATCCCATTAGACATATTATACAACTATTTTAAATACACATTTAGGAAGTTATCAACTGCCTTCAACAACTTCCAATAAAAATGGGTAAAACCGGTTTACTTTAGCAACGCTAGAGGTATTGCGTTACATAATTTAAAAGAAAATACTGTGGAATTAAGATTGTTCTTCTTTTTTGAAGTCGGTCAAAAATAAGATGATGTTATAATATAATAATATTTGGACAGTTTTTCTTAGTTTCTGTCTTTACAATTAAAATCAATAAAGGGATTAAAATACGGACGTAATAAATGCGAGTTACTATTGCTCCACATCTCACGAATAAAGGTATGCACGCCAATGAATGGTAATGAAAAACATAGTATGTGAATAAATACTAAAAAAATATGTAAAATTATAAAATACATAATAATGTTATGTATATTAATATAACTTTTATGGCTTAAAGTTTTAAACAAAAGTCTTATATTTAGTGACATAGAGGAATGGTCGATACTCCCAGTTTAGAAAACGTTTAGAAAACATTTTAGTTTCCATATAATGTGTTAAATCTTGTTTATATCTTTCCCTCAGTTCTTACATCAATAACGAAGAAAAGAAAAATTCATATGTATATAATACTTTTCACGAATGATAATTTTCAAATACTTTTCACTATTAAATTTGTAACAATCAATTTTCCTAAATGTGTCCATTTTTGTAATTGTTTGCATTCTCACACGAGTCAACCTATTTTAACCTATTATTTCTAGTGTGAATTATATAGACACGCATTAAAAACAAATAATATTCTTCACCATTAACCTTTTTAAAGCTAAAATTGTGTAATATTTGAATGTAATTTCATAATCTTTTGTCGTATGTTATATATAGTACATTAAATTCCCATTATGACTAAAAATTTAATGGAAAAAGTTATGTGAAATTTACATTGTGTTTGATATATTATATTCTAAGGATTTTTTTAATACACCATGAATCAATCCATTACAGCCGGTCAAATGTCTACTGCTTATCATAGGCTTCCACCGTAGATTGCCTTATAGGGTTGGCAGCCGCAGATTTTTGTAATTTTTTGGTTATTATTAGGAAACTTAATTCGACTCTTGAGAAACCCACGAAATGATATGGGCGGGTAGATTCTCATAAGCCGTCACTACACGGAGAATAGTTACGTAATAATTCATTTTGGTATCTTATATGTGATTATTATTTATTTAAAAAGAATATATATTTAAGTGCACAGTGTAATAAACTGTACATATTAAGGTATTTAGCTGTCTCGTCAATTTATTTGACTAGCTCGCCAGTCCTTGGTCGGGTCAAATTAAGTTATAAGATTTTTCTGTAAAGAAATTCTCAGTATCAGCCCAGAGTTAGGTTTGAAATTGACGGAGTATTACGTCAGTGCTTCGGAAAGCACGTAAAGCTGTTGGTTTTGCGTCTGATCTCTCTCCGGTTGGGTCAGATTGTCGTTACATGGGATATGAGAGTAAGGGAATAGAGTACACCTGTGCTTGCGCGTACACTCGGGAACTATGATCCTGTCCTGTGCAGGTGACTAGTCCATTGAGTAATTCGGTTTCGATGACATTATTACAAAGTTATGTATAAAAACGGACGCGTAAGCGTGCACACAACTGTAAAATAGTAAAATAAATTCGAATATTATATATTTTAAAGTTGCATATCATGAAAAATCTTAAAAGTAAATAATACTACAATTTATAAGTAAAACTTCATATCTATATGTTACAATGGTGTTTACTTATTAACTTAATTTCTACGTGTATAATACTTTCGCCGGCAAATTCAGGCAGCTTTTGTGAGAGCAGGTGGGTAACAAAGTGCATAGCTTAGTGATGCGCTGTTGAGTAATAGTTTAAATTTATATAATTTAAATTTTTATAATACACGTTTATAGATTATTATATACTGGTGTTATTTTAAAGTATTCTGTTTCTATATTTTTAAATATTTAAGTGACTTTAGTACAAACAACTGAATCCGTTTAGACGTTCCAAGTACATAGGTTTAAGCATTTAGTTACAATTGTTTTTCATAAAGTTGTTTTGGAATCAAACGATGTCCTACGAGCAAGCGCTTGTTGTCACCAGGCTTCCGTGTAACGTATGTCGTACTCTTGTAGGTGGGGGAGTCTCTGACGCAGTATTTCGAATGCTTCCGCTGATAATTTAGTGCTATTAAGATTTAAACGTCTCAAACTTGATAACCCTGAAAAATGCAATGATAAACATTAAATTAAATTCATTTTGTCTTTTTCAAGATTTAAAGACGATCTGAGCCGTGGTAGCTCAGATGGTTAACGCTCGCTGTAAATATCATAGTACGCGAGTAAACCGGGTTCGATCCCCGCCGGCACCAATGAAATTGTTAATTGCAATTTTAAGTGCTGATTTACCACTCGCTCGGTGGTGAAGGAAAACATCGTGAGGAAACCTGCATGTCTGACGAATAAGCAAAAAAATATTTCGAAGACAAGTTCGCCAACACGCATTGGGGTAGTTCGGCGGACACTTCCTTGGCCTTTAGGGCTATAATAATAGTCCCAAAGGACAAGGAAGGTTTTAACCTTCTCAGAAATGAGGGGAGGCCTGTGCCCAGGACTGGGACATATATAGGCTGTAACTTTAGTTTACTTTTGGATACTTTCACTGTAAAGGCTTTGCAAGGGCCTCTCTTCTCCCGTTGCATGGAAGATTTGTCTTAATCTTTACGCTTAGCAGATGGACTGATGATCGCAGCAAAAGAGTCTCGCACCGCTGACGCTGGCCACTCAGTATTTCACATACCGCAACATATTGGAAGTAGGAAGCCATAAGATATTTTTGGCATATTACGAGTATAACACAGTCAAATCTTACTACACCCTCGGGACTAAATAGGGTGATGGATTATTTTACATCACACCACATGACACTTAATCTATGACCTACTTAATCAGCAACAGTGTTAAACAAATTTAATTTTAACGGATATAGTTCAAAAACGTTTTAACTATTAACTCTCAACAAATTATTGTTACAATCAAATATCATATTTAACAGTACCTGATAAAGCTTCTATTCCTTTGTCTGAGATGGGTGTCTCGCAGAGGTTAAGCACTTGTAAACGTGGCAAGTGTTCCGCTATTAGCTGGACGCCACTGTCACCAAACTTGGTCGCCCACAAGTTCAGATAACGCAGGGAAGGCAGCTGCAATAAGTTAATTTATAACTAAAGAAAAGAATAGCGGAGTTGCGGTAGTTCATAAAAAAAAATTACAATGCGCGAGTAACCCTGCCGGAATCCACAAAATTGAGTATTAATTTATCACTTATACGACGTTGAATGAAAACAAGGTGAGGAAAGCTAAAGTTACATTGCATACTATGATAGTTCCACTTCTGGGCACAGGCCACCTCTCAGACATGCAACTTTCCTTAGGATATTTTGATTCACAAAACAAGCTTTCTGTCTTCTGCACCTAAAATTGTAAGTAACAATTTCATTGGTGACAGCGGGGATCGAATCCGCGTATAGTCACTAGTGTAGAAATAAACATAAAAAAAGATTTAAAATAAAAAGTTAATTCGGCGTTTGAAACGATGAAGTTGGAGATGATGTTGAAAGTAACTACTACAGAAGTGAGACGACGGGCCCGTGCTTGTGTTAGGAATCGCAGCAATCACTTTGAGCATCAATAAATAAATAATTTGAATTAAATTGTTGTTTTATTAGGATGCCTTCAAATTTAAATTTTATCCCTCTACCTGGTTTGTAGATCCTAATTTTAATAATTTGTGACATATAAAAAAGTTTGATATAATGTTTTCAAAAGGGTTTGAACAAAAAGCACTGTTCGTTTTTTTAACGTAGCGTCAAAACCTTGTTTCTTTAAATCTTGGACAATTTTCGTGAACTCAAAATGTCTGTATAAAAATGTTTAATGACGCTGATGCTTGTGATGCACCATGTTTTGTTAGATTGCTTGCACATTACTGTCAGATTTTTTTTAATTTATTGATATATTTTTTTTATGTGAATATGGCAGATGTGAATGGCCGAGTCGGGAAGGGACGCCCTAGGAAAAAGTTTATCGACCAAATTGGCGATATTTTGAAAATGGGCCACGTTAGAAGTACCCTTAACCGACGAGCATGTATGCGTAGATATATGGATGTAAAGGAGGCGAAAGAGGTATGTCAGGATCGTGCCAAATGGAAGTCCGTAGTCTCTGCCTACCCCTCTGGGTGACAGGCGTGAGTGTTTATGTATGTATGTATATTTTTTTTAATTAAAAAAATTGAAAATAAATTAAATAAAACTGTTAATAATTATAATAATAAACTGTAAAATTTTTGGGTTTTATCACCAAAAACAAATCGTTAAAAAATAGTCAGACTTCGTTTAACATGACTATGCCCTAAATAGTTCGAAATGGTCTAGAGTATCTTCAGCCACACAGTTCCGCACCCATCTTCCAATCACCCTGAATTTTGTCGGAGCTACGTAAACTCGTGAGCTATCGCTTAACATGGTTTAGTACGTATTTTATTATAAGTATGGTATTATTATTATCGTCGGCGGAGTTTCGATAGGCAGTAATGGTAGGAAGTGTGATGTGTGTATGATATGCTGGTGACGGCGGTGAAGGCGAGCGAGAGGCAGTCGAGGTTGCCGAGCGCTCCAGCCTCCAGCAGCGCCGCCACGTCCGCGTCCGTGTGTGATGCGTACCTTGATGAGGTGTTGTGTGCAGGCGCTGGTGACGGCAGTGAAGGCGAGCGAGAGGCACTCGAGGTTGCCGAGCGCGCCCGCCTCCAGCAGCGCCGCCACGTCCGTGTCCGTGTGTGATGCGTACCTTGATGAGGTGTTGTGCGCAGGCGCTGGTGACGGCGGTGAAGGCGAGCGAGAGGCACTCGAGGTTGCCGAGCGCGTCCGCCTCCAGCAGCGCCGCCACGTCCGCGTCCGTGTGTGATGCGTACCTTGATGAGGTATTGTGCGCAGGCGCTGGTGACGGCGGTGAAGGCGAGCGAGAGGCACCCGAGGTTGCCGAGCGCGCCCGCCTCCAGCAGCGCCGCCACGTCCGCGTCCGTGTGTGATGCGTACCTTGATGAGGTGTTGTGCGCAGGCGCTGGTGACGGCGGTGAAGGCGAGCGAGAGGCACTCGAGGTTGCCGAGCGCGCCCGCCTCCAGCAGCGCCGCCACGTCCGCGTCCGTGTGTGATGCGTACCTTGATGAGGTGTTGTGCGCAGGCGCTGGTGACGGCAGTGAAGGCGAGCGAGAGGCACTCGAGGTTGCCGAGCGCGCCCGCCTCCAGCAGCGCCGCCACGTCCGCGTCCGTGTGTGATGCGTACCTTGATGAGGTGTTGTGCGCAGGCGCTGGTGACGGCGGTGAAGGCGAGCGAGAGGCACTCGAGGTTGCCGAGCGCGCCCGCCTCCAGCAGCGCCGCCACGTCCGCGTCCGTGTGTGATGCGTATCTTGATGAGGTGTTGTGCGCAGGCGCTGGTGACGGCGGTGAAGGCGAGCGAGAGGCACTCGAGGTTGCTGAGCGCGCCCGCCTCCAGCAGCGCCGCCACGTCCGCGTCCGTGTGTGATGCGTACCTTGATGAGGTGATGTGCGCAGGCGCTGGTGACGGCGGTGAAGGCGAGCGAGAGGCACTCGAGGTTGCCGAGCGCGCCCGCCTCCAGCAGCGCCGCCACGTCCGCGTCCGTGTGTGATGCGTACCTTGATGAGGTGTTGTGCGCAGGCGCTGGTGACGGCGGTGAAGGCGAGCGAGAGGCACTCGAGGTTGCCGAGCGCGCCCGCCTCCAGCAGCGCCGCCACGTCCGCGTCCGTGGCGCGCACCGGCAGCGCCAGCCGCCGCGGCCCGCCCTCAGCTTGCTGACAATCACAACAAACCAACGCCATTACACTTATCACTCATTTAAAAAGTAATGTTGATACAAGTTATGTGGATGGTGGAGTTCTACAAGCAAGTAGATCTCTATCCCCTATTGTTACCGACATATTCATGGAAGACTGAGGAGAACGCCCTGCTTACTGCTCCGGTAAATCCAAGATTCTATAAGCGGTACGTAAACGACATTTTCACAATTCTAGCTTTAGATAATGTAAGTGCATTTTTAGACCATCTTAATTCCATAAATTCTTTAATTAAATTTACAATGGAGTTAGAGGAAATCAATTCTTTAGCTTTTCTAGATGCGTTAGTTATTCGGAATCCCGATAACACCTTGAGCAGCTTGTGTATAGAAAAAAGACCCATACAAAAAGATATTTAATCGGTGATTCTCACATCATCCTTCTCAATGAGCTACTGTGGGTCAATTTCTGTTTTAGAGAGCACGAGGGATTTGTGACAGTAAGCACCTGGGCGCCGAGCTCCAACACATCAAGCAAGTTTTGCATGATAACAAGCTTCAGGTCCGTGCCTAAGTCACAGTGAACGAGCGAAACAAGCGTGTATCAGCTGTACTGCCATATGTCAGTGTCACTGACAGGATTGGCTATACACCTTGAAGCGTGCTTCACTACATCAGATTTGATAGACCAGAAATCCTCGCTTAAGGACACCGATTCCTTCCAAGGATGATTCGCGAGGCTATTGAAATCAAAAAACATCCTATTTTCAATAGAGAAGATGGCTGGGTTCTACCAACTACTTGGGATCCCATAATTAATAAAATTAAATCCAAGCATACAACTGCAAGACTTTAAGATAGTATAAGTTCATACTAATAATTTTAATCTGAAGGTATCCGTGGTTAACTATGACATTGGGACGTCGAACACCACAGTCCCCCTCGTGACTATGGGTACTGTTAATTGCTCGAAACGTCGGGAATATAAAATAAGTTAATACACGCGATAAAATCCGTAAAAACTAGCTTTATATTAGATTGTACGATATTAATAATGGATAAACCATATTACAGATATCCCCTAAATATAAATTACAGAGAATTAAAGGAAAATATGTGCAAAAAATTAAAAACATCCACTAAGACATGGTTTTGTGTATATAGATAGCAAACGCAATGTTTCACTTTTTGTGACACTGTGTAATAAATAACTTCACCGCAATCCCAAAAACATACAGCGACATCTAAAGAGCGGAAAATTATTATCCCTCATTGCACAAATTTCTTAATTCAGTTTCTGTCAATTGGAATCTTTCATTACAGCCCTTCACAAGTCCACAGCTGAACATAGGCCTCCCTCAAGTAATGCCACAAAGCACGGTCCTGAGCCACCTGCATCCATTGAGTTCCTGCATGTCTTACCAGGTCGTCACTCCATCTAGTGGGGGGTCGCCCTAAACTACGCCTACCGCTATGAGGCTGCCACTCGAGAACCTTTCTTCCCCATCGGTTATCGGTTCTTTGAGCTACATGGCCGGCACATTGCCACTTCAGCTTACTAATCCATTGGGCTCACTGGTTTTACTGGGGATATTCTCATTTCTGAGTCTATCACGCAGAGAGACTCCGAGCATAGCCCTCTCCATAGCTCGCTGAGCGACCTTGAGCGTCCTCATATGGCCAGCAGTGAAGGACCACGTCTCAGATCCGTAAGTCATCACTGGCAACACGCACTGGTTGTACACTTTAGTTTTCAGAGATTGAGGTATACCTGACGAGAAGATGTGTCGTAAGACCGAAGAGTACAATCTGTCACTTTGCCTGGCATATGTGAACTATGAGAAAGCCTTTGGTTCCGTCGAAATTTGGGCGGTGTTACAGTCTCTTCAGCGGTACCAAGTTGACTGTCGGTATATCGAAGTGCTGACGTGTTTGTACAGTAGAGCTACGATGGCTATCCAAGTACAGAATCAGAGTTCGAAACCTATCCAACTGCGAGAGGTGTAAGACAGGGTTATATCCCCGAAACTCTTCACCGCTGCGTTAGAAGACGTTTTCAAACTACTGGACTGGAAAGGATACGGTATTAACATCAATGGCGAGTACATCACTCACCTTCGATTTGCCGACGATATAGTCCTTTTGGCAGAATCGCTGGAGGACCTTAGCATTATGCTCAATGACCTCAATGGTGTCTCCCAACGGATAGGTCTTAAGACGAACATGGACAAAACAAAGATCATGTTTAATATCCATGTCACACCTATGCCGGTAGTTGTTGGGAGCACTATGCTCGAAGTTGTTGACGAATACGTTTACCTGGGACAAATAGTCCGGCTAGGTAAGTCCAACTTCGACCGAGAGGTCAATCGACGGATTCAACTCGGCTGGGCAGCGTTCGGGAAATTGGAATCTTTGGGTACTTAAAATTAGTAAATGTCTCAAAGTCAAATCAATGAAAAAATTAGGATCATTGAAAATTAATTTAAAAAATCTGTTTTTTTTTTTAAATCTTTTATGGTGATTGTGATGATGACGCACACTGGATCGAAAATCGCTTTTCGAAGACATAGATAGACCTTCAAAATTTTAAATGTCGTTTTTTTAAGCTTGAAATGGCTTCAGTTTATTATTACTATGGTGAAAAATGTCACACGTGATAATTTGGCTTAAAAACTGAGGACTTATGATTTTTTTACGAAAAAAAAAAAGAAATAAATGTATGGAGCAGATACGAAAAATCTGTATCATAACCCTGGAATCGCACAATTGCGAATATCCTTACAGGGGGTTATATTTTAGTAATAATTATTTATGATTTTTTGACATACTTCATATTACAGAAAATACTGCACTTTTTTTTAAAATGTAAAAATTTTTATTTTTATTTTTCAAACTTGTTTTAATGCAGAAAGATAACTGACACGGGTTCTTTTTTGCATAAAAATAAGTCTCGTGTAACATTTTTGACCATAGCAATAATAAACAGAAGCCATTTCAAACTTAAATAACGACACTTAAAATTTTAAAGGTCAATGTCTTCGAAACGCGATTTTCGATCCACTGTGTGATGTGGTGAGAATACTAAAATTAGCAGGTATGGAAAACGTTGAAAGCCGTCTTATACTGGAGACCATGGAGGTTAGAGAACAGGAGAACGATCGCTACGTACTTAAGCATAGCCCGCATGTCCTTGAAAATTTGCAGAATTTATAGCGGCGCTGCCGTCGGCGAGTAGGGGCTGTGAAGTTAGCTGTTTATGAGTACATAGAGAAAAGGATAACGATCGCTGTTTTCTAACACTACCCAGAAATATGGACAAAATAAGTGAGGCGCTGCCATCGCTAAGTTTTCTCAATAAAAGTCATTTTCAGTCTATTTTTCCGATTAGATGCAAAACTACTTGCACATCTACGCACAATACAATATTTTACCATTTTTTAATGTTTCTTTTTGTCAAAAATTTAAAAATTACGGAGCACGATTATTTTCTCACTAACGCCGCGAAGAAAATGTGTATATTATTCAACTAACTTCATCTATTTGTACTCATAAACAGTTAACTTACTTACCGACGGTTGTTCAGGGACAGGCGGGCTATGTTTTAGCACGTAGCAATCGTTCTCCTTCTCTCTAACCTCCATGTGCGTGACGATAATGACAAACTTATGGAGTGTAGAAGTAAGGAGTACCAACTCTCATAGTAGAATAGTTGAAAAAGTGGTCATCTCCTAGCGTAAATAACAGTTCAAAAACTCTCTACAACAGCGCTGGAGTAGCTACTGGGATGAAATGAACTTAGCAGTTATCGACGGTTTGAAGTGTGCTGCCAAACTGCTCAGTAGCTCTAAAATCTAAAATAATTTTATTTAGTAAATATAACCTCGAAAAAGTCGTCTATCCCACTTATATTTTTTCGGCACGTTCTTTAAAATTTAGACCGTAGCTATAGTGGCGCCACCCTTATTTAACGGTTTTCTATGGACACTTTTTAATACACAGTCTGTACTCCTTACTTCTACACTCCATAGAAAAACTCTATTACGTGGGACAGCTTATATCTAGCAGTGGTCTGTTAAAGAAGAAGGAAAATGTTTGCATGGTTTTATTATTTCGGCGCTTTAACTTACCAGCTTTTGCAAGTTTTGTTGCCGCTCACAAAGATCTTTATAGTATTTTTGACCTAGTTCTGTGCCTTGTAAAGTCGCAATAATTTCTAACTGAATTTGTTCTCCACTGACTACCTCCCATTCCAGCATTAAACACAAGGCTTCTAATGCTGCAGGCTAAAATAAATAAATAAAAAAGTTTATTAAATTAAATGATCTATAGTGTATTAGATTTATGTATGTATATTACTTTTTTTTAGAAAATACTTACATGTTCAGTTAGAGCGACTAAAAGAAAATCTGGCAGTTGCTTGCTCATACTCTGAAGAAAACTTTTTCTCTTCCCGCAACAGTTGAGTAAGCCTCCAATCTTTAAAACAAAGAAAATTAATAATATAATTTTAATTCTAGTTAAAAAATTGAAGTAATTACGTTATTTTCATAAAATAGAACTAGTTCTTGGCAAATTTTAATTTTATCCTATTTATGCAGTTTTTTAAATTAATTATTGTATTCTTATATTTTCCGAGGTCGGGAAATAATATAGATACTAATTTCTTCAGAAGACAGAGACTTCAAGTATTTTTAACTTACATATATAGAAAATTTGAGATTTTTGTAACATCCATCGTTCTGTCACTATTATAAACATTTTATACTTTCCAATGTAGTCCATTAATGAGGATTACGCCATGGAGCCTTAATCACAGAATAAATAATAGTTGCCTTGACTTCGATTTCGGCTCTTCTATCTTGGGATAGTAAAGTGCCATAACTTATAGCTTATAGGTAGGTGAGCTTGATATAATGTCTTTATCTTTTGATGTGATCGAGGCGATTGTGCGACAGATCGATGTGTCGAAGGACATACGTCTAAATTTGGTATAGCATAATTTCGCCATTTGTAAAAATATGTGATACTACGAGTATCATGTATTTGCTATAGTTGCTACGCTTGACAAGCGGGTCACCACACTACACCACGGTTTTTAATTTTGAGTTGTTATCAAGGTACTGGTGCCCATCGCCTTATGCATTTACCTCTGTCGCCTCTTACATAGTACATACAGAGAGCCCAGTGGCGAAGCTAGGGCTCCAAACTAGGGCAAGCCCAAGATATGGTTTTGTTGTTTTTAGCAGTTTTATAAAAATACACCAATTTTGATCTGTCTCCACTCTTCAGTTTCATACTCAGTTCTGTTGAGGACGTGTTTAACAAAGCACACAGAAGGCATACTACCGCTAGATAGGTTGTATGACCGTAGAATAAATCAATTTTCGTTCGATAAAATGACTTTACCTATAGAATTAAGTAGATGGCGCTATTAAAATTTTATATACTGAAGACTAAAGGAAATATTTTTTAAAAACCTCAAAACATGATGTATTCATTTAATTTATTAAATTTAAATTTGGGCTTCACAATAAAAAAAAAAGATTGTAATAATTATTTCCTATAAAATTAAACTTATACCTAGGTATCTCATATTTTATGCTGCAGTTCAAAATGATATTTTTAACTCATATTGTAATATAATCAAATAACGTAAGTTATTTCCAATTAGTATTTGTTTGATGTTCAGAATTCACTTCAGATCGTTAAAAGATTCAAACAACTGTGTGTTTTATTTATAAACCTATATTAAAGGGATTCAGATTGAATTTTGGTAACAAGGCCATTCTCAACGGAAAATAGCCATCTGCGCATCTGGATTATATTGTCCCAGTGTAATACTACTGCTACTGAGAATTTTGTGATGGAAAAACCCAATAAATGATTCTTGACCTGACTCAGGTTTCGAACTTGGGACGACATGATCAGCAATTGCGTTTACGACCATTAGACCAAGAAGGCAGTTAAAATTGTTAAAACTATAATAATTTTAAAGGCGTCTCGCTCTGAGGAAAAAATTGATGGTCACTAAAAAGCCGGGCTTTTTATCTCCATACTAATTGCTATTTATACAATCGTAGTTATGTTTCATTATAGAACATTTTGCCACAGGTTAGAAAGCGAGCGATCACCTTCTCGAAAGCCCGGTAAAAAGCCCACGTGTGCGAGGGAGACAACTGGCTCAATTCAACTCTCCTTATATGTATGATAGCAGTATTCCTAAGGCTACGAGATCGCACAGAGAGTGCATGAAATTTGAAATAGTTTGAAACAGTTTGCGAGTTATTTTATTACTTGATATTATTGATTGATTCAGCTTGATAAGGCAAGCCGGGCTTCTGGGCAGTGGCGAAGCTAGAGCTCCAAGCTAGGGCAAGCCCAAGATATAAATTGATAAAAATATGTATTGTTGTTTTTAGCAGTTTTAGAAAAATACACCAATCTTGATCTGTCTCCGCGCTTCAGTTTCATATTCAGTGCTGTCAAGGACGTGTTTAACAAAGCACACAGAAGACATACCACTGCTAGATAGATTGTATCACATATCAGCAATTGCATAGCTTCGGTGGCTTTGAAGAAAGCCGTTTGGGTTTGTTTAAGCGAAAGAAAAAAAATATTTACATCCAATACAATACATGAACAAAAGTAAAACACGAACAAAGTACAAACAAACTATGTACAAAATTAAAAAAAAATATTTACATTCTAATGGATACGAGATAAGATAAAATAAGTGGAATCGTCTCGCTTTCTTATGGAAAGATTTAATTACGTCCACGTAAAATGTTGGTGAACGTTTTAATTGTACCAATAACTGTTTTTAATTGCGATAATTGATAAGTCTGAAATACACTCTTAACCTTGTGTATTATCTCAACAAAGTTTAAAGATTTCCTCTCCGATTATCACTTTAACACACTTCAATTCATCGCAAGGAACACTATTATCCTCCATTTTTATTAAAAATCTTTAAAAAAGCATAAATTTTGAACTCGTAATATTAAATCACTTAATATAAGCACACAGAGTAAATAAACATTGAAACGTGAAATGAACTTACAAACGTATTGCCCGCGCGCCTCCGCTTTTAACAAATTTATTCCCAAAAGCCTGGCTTTAAATCTCTATACTAATTGCTATATATACAATCGTAGTTATATTTCATTATAGAATATTTTGCCATAGGTTAGAAAGAGAGCGATCGTCTTCTCGAAAGCCCCGTAAAAAGCCCACGCGAGCGAGGGAGACAACTATTAGTTCTATTAAAACTCATTTTTTATGACAGCAGCAGTATTGCTAAGGCAATACGAGGTCATCGTCGACATGTGTCTAATAGTGGAGTGCGCGGGAAATTTGAAATAGCTTGAAACATTTTACGAGTTATTTTATTAGTTCATATTATTGATTGATTCAGGTTTAATAAGGCAAACCCGGCTTTTCGGCTTTAATGGAAGCTTCGCCACTGCTTCTTGGCTTGTATGGAGGCTTCGCCACTGAGAGAGCCCATGGGCTGATATGGGGTAGTGAATATTCTTAAACCTCCACTTTGAATGTCAGATGTAAAATATTTATCTAATACATAAAAAATAATGTCTGTTCATATTTTATGCGCTGCCATACCGTCCATCAGATTGCGCTAAAACTTTGTTAATTTATTGCTTGCGCTTGCGCGAAGGTTATATGCATAGTACAATTAACTTACAAATAGGTGGCGCTTGTATCGGTACCGACAAATTTATTTGAAGCTCATATTATTCAGTTTCACTCAATATAAATTGTATTTATCATTCCTAATTATAAAAATATTATCCATTAGTTCCAAATTTAAAACGATATTTCCAAAACATTTCGCCGGCCATTAATCTAGTGTGAAATATCAACCTATTGCTATTGTTTCATATGGTGACGAGAGATAGGAAATCCTTTTTACTGGTAACGAGGCATTCCATCTTGCATCTCAGAAAATCGTCTGGCGCTACAGAGTTTACTTATCTTGATGTGCACTTTGTCTTTGTTAGTCAGCCTTATTCTTAAAAAGTATATATCAATGTGTAATGTTTTCTTTTCTCAATATTGGGATCTACATAGATTTTAAGAATCATTATAGTCTATCAAAGTCAACTGCTGAAACATAGGCCTCTCTTATAGATTGCATCATATGGCGTTATAGGTGGGTAGGCCACCTAGGTAAGGTAGTCTTTTTATTTTCTACTACTATTAGTAAGAAGCTGTCGCACATCTTCTTGGTTTTTTCTCTCTGTCATGTTTAAGATATCCACAGAACGATATGCGATAGTGGATTTTCTTATACCACCACTGCACGGTTAATTTTAAGAATAATATTGTTAATAGGTATTTCATTCCGTGAAAACTTGTAGAAGTTATGACATTGTGATACATTTACCATGGCAGGCAAAGAGAAATTACAAAGGTTCCTTGTAATTTTCGGATTTGGAAAAACGAGTAAAACGTATGAAATTCACCATGTCGCCCCATAACTGGCAAAGCTGGTGATGCGGCAGTGCGAGAACGGGGTCGGAGGGCGCGGCGGCGCGCAGCCAGGAGGGTGGCGCTGGTCGCGCGGCGTGGGCCGGCGTCACGCTGCCGTGCGCAGCGCAGCGCGCGTCCTTCGCCAGCGCGCCCAACACGCACGCCAGCCGCACACACACGCGCGGGCAGCCCAGCGCACCCACGCACAGCCCTACCGGCTGTAGCACCGCGCCCACCACCACCAACCAGTCCTCGTACTCGCACCTGCACATCGTTACGGTCGCCACAATTAGTTGTTGTTACCATTTCATACTATTATAAATATTCATTTTTAACTGAGTCCCAAAAAAGAGAGGAATCTATACTCGATGCATATACTTTTTATACAGGGATATTTTGTAATATACGCCTGATTTTTGGACGGTTAGAATAAGCAATACAGGCGAATGGTGAAGAAAAATTGATTTAAAAAATCTCAAGCATTCTGTTCTTTTTATCTTTTAAATTCAGAATTTTAACTGTTATTTTAACTGATTGACATTCATAAAATATTTTTAACGCCAACTATTTTACTACGCACGCGCACATTTGTAAGGAGCGTTCGGTTTCGGTTGGCAAAAATTTTGTGAATTAAGTCGTACACAGACGATCCGCGTAAACGTAGTTGTTTTTTGTTGCTCTGTTTCAAATAACAGTAGTAGCCTTAATGACTTGTAGTTTCAAAAATTGCAATGACATTATATCATTATTATTTATACAATTTGATTAACTGTCAAGTAGGTACACGTAAGTTAATTTCTTGCCGCGGTAAAGACTCACTTTCCGTATAATCTTTGCGCACCACGTAATCTTTCATTGCTTAAAATGTAATGTCGCAACATTTCATAGTATCCGCAGTTCGAATATTTTCGTTACGTCATTGGTAACTAAGCGTACGTAATGAGACCTCTCAGTCAACAATGTCAGCTGTCGGCCGAGCGAGCGAACGTAGGTACTTAATGGAGTATACGGTAAATAGAAGGGAAGGACGCAGGAAGACGTGAGTCACGGTACCTTAACAAGCAACTCTTACGAATGTGTGCGTAGGTAAAATAGTAAGCGTTAGATATTTATGAATGACAATCAGATAAAACAATGCATTACCACGAATTTTAAGCTTAAAAGTTAAAATGACAGATCTTTTGAGATTAAAAAAAATCTTGCGTTTTTCTAGATTAATTTGTACCAAATTAAGTGTTAATTTGGTAACAAAACAAGTATTTTTTTAAATAACCTATATTTTTACGTGATAGAGTTACGTTGCAACGTATAAATGAAGGCACGAATGGGCCGGCTTAAATGGCGTTATACCAAATTCGCATAGAATACCAACGTGAAATAGCAGCATAATACTCTATTTTTATCGTGAGTTGCGAAAATCGGAGACCTTCTTTAGTACTGCCAGTGCTTTATTTAGAATTCCGAAAGCCCTAGACTAACTACTTAGTATTGCGCGCGAGTCGTAGCGCAAGTATGTACAAGCCGTCTTCTTAAACATATCGGGAGCATTCGGTACATGGTGGCCGATGATACTGTTGCGCTCCACAGTTGATGCCTGATACATGGCACTAGCGCCATCTATTATCAAATAGAAAAACTAAGCTTTCTAGAAAACTCCACATTCTAATTTTCTACACTTAGTCAGTTGGACCGGTATTTTCTGAAACATTCTAGATGTTTCGGTGGAAAAAGGCATATATATATATATATATATATATATATAAAACCGTACAAGCAAAGACTTCGGAGCGAAATGAAGTTTTAATTGGTGTTCAGTAATTAAAGTGTCAATTTTTGTAATTCAATCGGCAGTTTTTACTGTCACGAACCCTGAGCTCGTAACAATACTGTTGAAGGCTAAGCAAGGGGGGATTCCACCTTACATCTACCACACATTGGTGGATTATTTCACCAACAGACGAGTAGGCATAATCGTACGTGATTGTGTTGAATGGAAATGCTCGTACATGGGCTCCCGCAGGGATAAAGCTATGAATGCATGGCAGGAACTGTGGATGAATAAGACGAGTAGCAAGGAATTATTCCGGTTTTTTCCAGGCAAGACGCCACTCAATGCAAATTGAGTCGTGCTGGACTACCAAATCACAGATTCTCAGTGGGCATAAGTTTTTCAAGAAGAGATTGTTTGATATGAAATTGGCTGAATCGAGTATGTGTAGGTGCGGAGCGGCCTACGAGGATAGGCACCATATCTTGTGGAAGTAAATACTCTATGATTTCTAATATTTACACGAACACTACACATTTAAATAATACTATTTTTTACGGATTTTCTCGCATATATTTAACTTTTTAAATGCCCGACGTTTCGAACACTTTATAGTACAAATTGGTCACGGGGGGGTGGGGGACTAAGATGTTCAACGTCCAGATGTCATAGTTAACTGCGGTTAGCATAGATTAAAATTTAACTTTTGTTTCGATTTACACAGTATGAACTTATAGTATCTTGAAGTCTTGCAGTTGATTTCAATAGCCTCGCAAATCATCCTTGGAAGGAATCGGTGTTCTTTAGGGAGGATTTGTGGTCTATCAAATCTGATGTAGTGACGGGGGCGATCCTGTACATGTTCACAAACTGCAGACTTCCCGAAGCGTCGATTCTTCACATCAGCTATATGTTCTTTAACGCGGGTTTTAATTGATCTTTTAGTTTGTCCTATGTAGGAGAGACCACATTCACAATCAAGCTTGCACAATCCTGCATATTGCAGAGGGACGTTACACTTGACTGATGGTAAAAACTGACCAATCTTCTTCGGCGGCTTGAAATATGTTTTGATGGAAGCGCGCATCAAGATGTAGCCAATCTTGTCAGTGACTCCTCTAACATATGGCAGTACAGCAGGTACACGCTCGAGTGTGGCCGGCTTCACTGTGACGTAGGTGCGGGAGCTTGTTGTCATGCAAAACTTGCTTGACGTGGTGGAGCTCGGCAGCCAGGTGTTTACTGTCACAGATTCCCTCGTGCTCTCTGAAACAAAGATTTACCCACGGTAGCTAACTGTGAAGGATGGTGGTGAGAATCACCGTTTAAATATCTATCTGTATGGGTATTTTTTCTATACACATTATGTTTCGAGGTGTTATCAGGATTCCGAATTACTAACACATCTAGAAAAGCTAAGGAATTGTTTGCCTCTAACTCCATTGTGAACTGAATTTTAGAATTTATAGAGTTAAGATGGTCTAAAAATGCAGTTACTTTATCTAAAGGTAGAATTGTGAAAGTGTCGTCTACGTACCGTTCGTAGAATCTTGGATTTATGGGAGAAGTCAGTAGGGTTTTCTCCTCAAGGTCTTCTATGAATATGTCGGCGACAATGGGAGATACAGGTGAGCCCATCGCCACACCATCTACTTGCTTGTAGAACTCCTCCTTCCACAATAGGTAGCCAGATGTAAGGCAGTGTCGGATGGTCGGTCGGTAATACTGCATATTCTAGGGGCATGTTGTTTTCTTCCAGCCTTCTAGTTACAATTGAGATGCAGTCTTCAACAGGTAAGCATGTAAACAATGACTGCACATCAAAACTGACCATAGTTTCATTGTCTGCCAGACGTAGGTCTTTAATTCGCTGACAAAATGGTAGGAATCCTTTATGTGTGCTCTTGTATGTCCCCTGAGCGGTGAGAGTATTTTCGTTAAGTGTTGAGGCAATCTGTAAGTTGGTGAATCGATTTTACTTACTATGGGATGTAATGGAGCATTGGGCTTGTGTATTTTTGGTAACACATACAACTTTGGTGATTTGGCGCACGTAGGTATTATTCATTTTACGTCCAGATTTAATTTTTCGGAGTGTTTCTTTATGAGATCACTAGTTGTTTTTAGTGTGCTATTTGTTGGGTCGTTTTTAACCTTTTTATAAGTGCTTACATCCGACAAAAGTTCTTGTATTTTAGAATTATAATCTGACGTATCCATGACTACCGTGGCGTTTCCCTTATCTGCGCGGAGAATCGTAGGTTCTTTAACGCTATAAATTCGTCTTTGGGAAGATTCGGTTTAGGCACTGAACATCGACGTAACATAGACGAAATGTGTTGACGTATCGCTTCCAAATCTCCTTTCCGCATAATGTTTTTAAATAAACAGTCCTCGACATTACAGATAATTTCTTCGTACGGTAATCTGCGTGGTGTTATCTTGAAATTGATACCTTTGGATAAAACCCTAATTGTTGCATCATCCAGTGTTTGTTTTGACAGATTATAGAACGCGATTAATCTATGGGTGCGTTTGGCAGAAAAAAGCGCTAGCAAGCTCTTGTAAGCAAAATGGCGATCGTAAGCGGTAAGCGCTGTCAAATCGTAAGTAGCTATTTTCCTCTAGGACACGATGTTAGTTTTAACCGGGGAACCTAACCTAATTTAAATATATGTTTGTGAAGTATTCATATTAAAAACTTACCAATCATGAAGTTTTAATAACATGTATATTCTATTTATGTCATTATATTACTTAAAATTAATATTGCAAAAAACAACTTATAAACTCTACTTCAAAACAAACAAATTAAATAAGCAAAATGGCGGATTGTGTCAGCGCTACTGAAGTTAGCAAACGTGTCCTGACTGAAAACTGTTGCCATTTTGCTTACAAGCGCTTGCCAGCGCTTTTTTCTGCCAAACGCACCCTATGATCTGTGTTTGTCAATGGTTGCTTTTGATTCTGGCATTGATTCGGATTTTTGACAATTAATTTGGTCGTTAATTTTTGATATTTTATTTTTATTTGTTTATGCATTCGTTATATTTATTAATTTCGCATTTATTTAACGTTTCCATGCAAACATTATAATCAAACGTCGTTAAAACATTTTTGATTCACTAGATGATGTGTCTATGGATTTGTTTATGTTATGTAGATCGGAGCGTTTTTGTTGGATTACCGTCCGTAACAACTTTTTACTCGCCTGATTTAAGATCTTAGCGCTTCCTCGAATATCCTTTTTGGTTGATATTTTGACACACGTAGGAATGAGATTATAGTCCGTAAAAATGAGTAGGTATTATTTAAATAAATACTCTATGATGACCCGCGATATAAGATGATGGAAAGAATGGTACGCGAAAAGGTTGGCCCGGTTTACTACCCGGAACTCGTGGACGGGAAGGAGAACTTTGGCCGCCTGCGTGAGTTTGCGTATGGATGGCATGCAGGGAGGACTGCCATGGAGAGAATATTTACACATATAGCCGAAGGTGAGCCCGGAACCGCGTTTTCTTAGACACATTAAACAAAACCACTTTCAGATTGTCGAAAACAACGTCCGCAGTTTACGAAACAAAAAACTAGTGATTCCGCCCGATTGCAGTCCACTAAAAGAGTTACAGCGAATTGACCATAACTTATGGTGCAGTATGTGTGTCCCGTTGAGCCCGTCTAGACGAAGAAACAAAGACTTTTCAGTTAGCAGTTTAATGGAGTACTCACATGTGCTCTAGGATGTCCGCGAAGCAGAGGACGTCGTGCTCGGAGTCGTCGCAGCAGTGTGGTACGGTGTAGTCGCGGAAGTGATCGTCGAGTGCGGCGAGCGCCACGGCCGCGAGGTTGGGCGCGGCGCGAGGGTGTGGACATTTTGCACGCTCGCCGTGCGTCACCGCAACGAAGCGACGTACGAGGCTCGGCCCCGAGTTGTTCGCGCTCAACGCACTACCATCAAATTTTATTATAAATATGATATAAAGCGACCTTATTTAGTATTATCGTATAATCCTAGTAAAATAATATTATGTAATTTACAGAACTTTTTAGTATTAACTCTTCTTTTTTTCTAGGGACACAGTGCAGATATACATTGTCACCTTTGAAGGCCCATTCACTGGAATGTTGTTTCTTTAAACTGTAACTAACTGTAACTGTAAACCCATGTTTCGTCTCCAATAAGAACGTCATAAGCAGTGTTTAAATGCCCATGATTGAACTTTACCAACATAGCTTTCCACTAATCGAAACGAGTTTAGAAAAGGACTGATGTGAGTTTGTGAGAATGCGGAGCAACTAAGATACATGACTTTTTAATGTTGCAAAATCTTTTGTATTTGACTCATTTTATTAATTAATTTACTACAGCCTATCAAAAGTCTACCGTATTTTGCTGTTTCAGTTCCTTTCTGGCGCCCATTACGACACCGTCGAAATGATATGAGGGGGATAATACAATAAAATAATATTATAGTAATTTTTACGCGTATCGTTACCTGATATAATCTCGTACAAATCGCCTGGCGTCCGGCGCCTTTCCAAAATCAACATTTCGGGTGAGTACTCTTCGTACAGGTGGAGCGAGCGCGGGCAGTGGGGCGGAGCGTGGTCGTCTCCTGCACAGACGAGCGAGCAAAGCGCAAAGTTCCCCATTCACACCTCGTTCCGCTAACAAAGGCGCAGCTGAGCTCGTAACATTTTCCGCCCATTCTTCCCAGTCAGGACTATTTTTGTTCTGAATAGAATAAATAAATAAAAAATCAATGTACAGTAGACCAAAGATGTCTGCTTGTTGGTTTTGATTTTAGTTTGCATTCAGACATGTATTGTTATATTTGCATCTGCTACTGACCACCTACTTGTTTATTGTATTTCAAATACAAAATATTGTGCGATTTTGTTTCTTTAATTTTAACCTTATTTACGGCATTTTTGACGTGGTAGAGCCACGCTACGGCTGTAACAGTTGTAGCACAAATGGGTCGGCTCGACCGGGGTAGAACCACGCTCTCACAGAATACCAGCGTAAAATAACACCTTAAGGCTGCTGTGTTTCGTATGGTGAGTGTAGAGAACCAATGACCCTTTTTACTGGAAACGAGGCATTCCATCTTAGTCCTCGGGGGTGACAACGCATCTGCATTTTGATTCTTAATCGAGGATAAATATAGATGTCTATGGGCCACAGCATCCACTTACCACCAGGCGGACTGTGTGCTCGTTTTTGTTTAAATGGAAAAATATTCACGACAGTAGTCAAATGGCGGATTCGAACCCATGACCTTATGAGTTCGTGGTCCGCACCCTGCCATTAGGCTACTGTTGTTGTTTATTTTTATTTTATATAAAAAGTTTATGTAACTAATTTGGCGCTAAGTCACAGTCGTTTCTTAGACACTTTCTGCTTTCTACGAGTATAGGTTGAAATACTCAATTTCTTAATTTATTAATATTATACAAAAAATAAAGTTAAAAAAATTATTTAGTATTGTTGCGCGCCTAAGTTGACGTCAGGTACCTGGCACTAGGGCCATCTAGTGTCGGGGAAAAGAGCGAGGAGGGCTTCCTAGAAAATGTCAATCTTAACTTTCGACCAACAGCGCCATCTAGTACCGAACAGAAGAATTAAGCTTTCTAGAAGCCCCACACTCGAACATTTTGCGTCTGGTCGGTCGGTGCCCGTATCTACGGGAATATTCTAGATGTTTCGGTGTAAAAGTGTATTTAAACCCGCTGGATGCTGCGATCGGGGCAGTATTGAATTTGGCGAGACAAACGAAGCTTCGGAGCGAAATAAAGTGAATCGGTGTGATTAATTATTAGTGTCTTTTAAGTTTTAATTGGTATTTGGTAATAAAAGTGTAAATTTGGGTAATTCAATCGGCAGTTTTTAATTTTTATTGTCACGAACCTCAAGCTCGTAACAATTGGTGTCAGAAGTGGGATAAAATCATGCCGATTTTACCTAAGGAGGAAACGGAGAGTGTCCGTACCCGAAGTCAACGTCAGCAGGAGACGGACCAGAGACGATTTGGTGGTGTAACGCCGCAGATGTCTGAGGGCCAGCCGCCGGCCACAGAGGCCGGCCCGTCAGCAGCTCCTACGTCTGTGGCACCTGACTAAGGTGCTCTGATGGTGATGCTGCAGCAGCTGCAGCGCGGACAGAAGGAACAGCAGCTGCGGAAAACAAGAACAAGAAGAGCAGCTGCGGGGTGGACAGGATGAACAGGCCCGCCGACAGGAGAAACAGGTTCGTCGTTTGGAAGAGCAGCTGCGGGGCGGACAAGAGGAACAGGCCCGTCGGTTGGAAGAGCAGATGCTCCTCTTGAAGGACCTTCACGCTACTTTCGGGAAGGAGATAAACGAGGTGAAGGATAAGGTAGCTCAGCATGACAACTGCCTGTCGGAAGCTGAAACCCAAATCGCAAAAGCTGAAACCCGAATCGAGAAAGCTGAAACCCGAATCGACCAAGTGAACAATCGGGTTGACAACGTGATGGCTGACGTGAAGAAAAAGCTGGACGACCTCAAACTGGGGGATGGAATTACAGTACCGTAGTAGCTGCAATACCTTCGCTACGTGGGTGCAAGATCCAGTTCGAGGCTGTCATGGAGGCGAACGGCTGGAATAAAAGCCAGGCCATGACTGTACTCACCCTAGGCCTGCGCGACCAAGCCTTAACTGTGTTAGAAGCTCTCGGTAAGAAAGTGCCATACGAGCAGCTTCTTGAGGCATTGGAGGCGAGATATGGCGACTCTCACCTGGAACACGTCTTTCGTGCGCAGCTTAAAGATCGCGTGCAGCGCATCAACGAAAACCTGCAGCAGTGGGCTCTAGAGGTGGAGAAGCTGGTGCGAAAAGCATACCGGTCTGTACCTGCGCTCATTGAAGGGAACCTGGTGCAGACATTCATCGACGGCATTCGCGACCTTGAAGTCAGAGCTGCTGTGAGGCTCGGGCACCACGAGACGCTTAAGGACGCCTTGGCACATGCACTGGAGGTGGAAGTAGTGCGGCAGGATCATCGTTCCCATCGCGTCAGGGAGGTCGCAGTCGTTACAGTTCGCGACCGCAATAAAGGATACAGCTATGGCTGTGGGGAAAGGGGCCATCTTCGATCCAGCTGCCCTAAGCGAACCCTAGAAAGGGAAGTTGATCGATCTCGAGAGAGTAGTGCAGCTATCGGCACCGCCTGGCGGCAGCAGGATCATCGTACCCCTCACGTTAGGGAGGTTGCAGCAGTTACGGTTCGCCACCACAATAAAGGACTTAAGGAAGGAAGGTTACAGCTCTAGGTGCTATGGCTGTAGGGACCGGGGCCATCTTCGCTCCAGCTGCCCTAAGCACACCTTAGCAAGGGAAGGTGAACGATTTCAGAAAGGAAGTGCGGCTAACAGCACCGCCCAGCAGCAGCAGGAATACGACTTTACCATCAGACACTGCAGCGGGAAATGGCGAGGCAACACAGGTGCATTGTCAAGAAGTCCTTATCTTGATGATGTCGAGAACAGTACTAGGCAAGAGAGTAAGGAAGTGGTATCCGTGAGGATGCTCAGGACAGACCACCTCAGCAACGAATGGAAGGACAGCTTACAACATGCACAGCAGGAATATCCGGTCATCAAGCCGATTCTGGAATGGATTAAGGCCCGTGCTACCAAGCCCAAGTGGAGCGACGTCTCAGCGATGAGTTCGACCACTAGAACCTATTGGGCCCAATGTGACAGCTTGCTGATTCAGGATGGAGTCCTGTGCCGTAAATGGGACAATGGTCGAGGAGACAGCTGTCGTTTGCAAATGGTTGTCCCTGAAGCTAAAGTGTCGAATTTTCTACAGCTGTACCATAATGGTTGTTCAGGATTCCATCTGGGAGTTAAACGAACTCTACTGAAGATCCGAGAACAGTTTTACTGGGTCCATTATCGTGACGATGTCGAGGATTGGTGTCGCACATGTACAAGTTGTGCGGCTGTGAAGGGACCTCAGACACGTAGTAGAAGAGCATCGAAACTGTACAATGTTGGTGCACCATGGGATAGGACAGCCTTTGACAACAGTATTATAAATTAAAATATTGTGATCACGCCATCACGTCGTCGCTCCAACTAGTAGTCTAGTGGGGAATCGCAAAAAACGAAGCAACTCGATATACACTATAACGATAACGATAACCTTGCTTCCACATTGGTTGTTGGTTCTTCAAGCTTACTGATCCGCTGGGCTATGTCGGTTACTCTTGATCTACTGCGGATATCGTTGTTACAGATTTTATCCCGCAGAAAAATTCCAAGCATAGCCCTTTCCATAGTACGCTGAGTGGCTTTGAGCTTCCTCATACTGCCAGCAGTTTGAGATCACATTCCGGTTCCGTAACTCATCACTGACAACACACACTAGTGGGACATGTTCATCTGAAGGCTTTGAGGAACATCGGACAAGAAGATTTGTCGCAGTTTCTTGAACACAGTCTAGCAGCTTTTTTATTTTTTAAAAAACGCTCCTACCCGCTTATTTTTGTTTTAAACGACGAGTTAAAAAAAATTAAGCAAATTCAGTAACAAGGGGTCATTGTTCGCAAGAATTTTGTAACCTTACGTTGAACTTGTAAACAAAATGGAATAATGTGATCTTTTAAGTACCTATATACTTCTTCATACATATTCAATTAAATGTTAATATATGGAATTAACTATATAAGTCGCTGAGACTTAAAAATCAGTTGGGCGCCAAAATAAAAATGCCTAGCCCTTTCTTAAAATATTAAATCTGTAAAAATCTTTAGTCATTGCAGCCTGTATAAAGTCTACCGCTGAACATATGAGTGAGCACTGAGGAACCATGCCGGGAATTCGCGAAATGAATTGCGAATACTAAGTCATCAATATACTTTCAAAGTTTTCTATAATTTAATGAAAACCTTTTACTAAAAGTTTAGCATACTACACCTCATACTCGTTTTCTTTTTGTTAAACAGCGACCTACATATTATATAATATGTAACAAGAACCCTGTTGTTCCCGTTAAGAGAGTTATCAGAATGAGTATCCAAGCAACAAAACAAAAAACACATTTAAACAAATTAATTTTGATGAAAAAAAATATTTGCAAATTGTAAGTGGTTTTATTTCCTCTAACTCACACGGGTATCGGTACTGCGTGGTCTTTGACAATCGTCTTACTCCTCGGCCAATGCAGAAATAATAAAACCACATACAATTTGCAAATTAATTTTTTTTAAATGTGTTTTATTTGAAAAAAAAATATTTCTATACGCTTGGATACTGATTCTGATAACGCAGTTAACGGGACCCACAAGGTTTTTGTTACATGTTGTATATGTCTGGAGACGTGTGGAATGAGGGATCAGTTTTAACAGTAGCTATTTTTAAATCGCACCAATATTTAGCATTATTTCTTTTGCTACAAAATCTTTTAAGCCTTCTACTAAAACCTTAACCGGAAAAAGATGATTTAAATAATTTTATTAGGAATTTTCACAAATTTATAAAAAAAATGTGTGGACTGATAGCACAGTTTAGATGTTTGTTTCTAACATTTTATATATCTTTAAAATGAGCTTTACAAATTCTTTACTAATTATCTGTAATCAAATTAACTACATTTTTAAGATATTTTCCAAGATGTAGCTGATCACACTTTAAGGGCCGTAACTTTTTTATATTCTTTTACAAATTCCAAGATTCGTTCTACAATTGTTCTAGGCCTACTACTGAATCCTTAGCAATTCATTTCGCGAATTCCGGCCATGGTCTCTTAGTACTCACATATATCTGAACATAGGTCTCACCCATTGCCTCATTCCCCTATGTGGCAATCTATAGGTATATATTGTCATTCCTGAGGAATAAGATAGAATACCTCATTACCAGTAAAAGGGTCTCCGGATCTCATAGTATTATGCTGCTGTTTCACATTGGTATTTTGTGCGAGCAATTCTTTCCCGGTTAAGAAGACACATTCGTGCTGTAGCTATAATACTAATAATTAAAATTATTTGCATATTTTTATTTCATTTGTTTATTCATCAAAGTCAGCTAAGGTCTAAAAGTTCTCCATAGATCGCCTCCTTAAGGATATTTAGCATAGTTTCCAGTTTTTTATTGCGGTTGTGTTTGTCAAGAAAATTTGCGGTCAATCTCCAGTTTCAATTTCCCTCTGCCACTCTTATACCACACCCACAGAATGAGATGGAGTAGTAGATATTCTTGTACCGCCACTACACGGCCATTAACTACTTTATAGCAACACAATAATAAATTTAAATTTATTAATTTAATTTATGACATTGTGGTTGGCCATTAATGATTAAAACTGAATTTAACATATTCATGTAACTTTGAGAGTAAATTATTTGACATATTCAAGGTGGAATGCATACTTTTTAATCTCGAATACTATTTTAATATTTAATAACTCTGCGTTTTGAGATGTTACTGTTTCATTCTTATAAATTATTGATTTATAACAATATCTGTTACATTAAATACAGTGACACTTATTAATTAATTAATTAATTAAGAAAGTCAAAAGGGCAAGTTTTTCAAGTTGTGTGTGCCAGTTAATATGGCTACAAATATTAAAAAGGCTTAATATATCCAGTAGTGAATACAGAAAGATTATTAAAGATGAAAGGTGAATAATTGGGACAGCTGAATATTACAAGTGACATTGCATCGTCCGTTAACACATAAACTGAGGTGTAGCTGCGGATAAAATTAAGTCTTTTCATATAAAACACAAAACGGTTTCATATAAAACACGGTCAGTTAAACTGATCATTCCAACTGATCCGTTCAAACTAAAATTGCTGATATTTTTTTTAAATTGTGTATATTCGATATATCGATCATTATAAATATATTAATATCGTAGTTTTACATATAAGTTTATTCATGGATATATCAAAAATCCGATATTTTAACACACACAGTTTTAGTTTGAACAGATCATTTGGAATGATCAGTTGAACTGACCGTGTGTGGCGACCATAAGAGATACACTCGTATTATTAGCCATAGCCCGGTAACTGCTAAGTGTTATTAATAGACGGCTATTACCTAGAGTGATGGTAGTAATGAACACACTTATGACTAGCTTGTTGGTCTGGTGGTGTTAGGCAAAACTCTTGATCAAGTGGTTTCGGGTTCGAATCCTAGGTTGGGGCTAAAATCTGTCAAGAAATTGTCAGTAATAGTCTATTTTAATACACACTCTGGTTCGCACAGGCACACCTGCAAAGACCTTAACGTAGCGTTTACGGCAAGCATAATCGTCCTCGCTCCTTCTCTCTACAACGGCAATGTTTAGTAGTTTAAATTATTTCTTATTAAGGCGACATGGGACGTTAATATGGTAGAACTAATAATGACTGGCCACGAAGATTGTGAATGCATCCAAAATATCTTTATATTTGTAGACATAATTATTAACGTTTAGGATGCGTTTGAAGTTTACCGCACTGCATAAAAACATCAGGACCAAGTCTTTGTGTCCGTTGTGAAACGTGACTGACTAAACCGATAACTCAACGTAGGTTTAAGACGATCTTTTATTCAATGGATTTATCGCCATACGATTAACTTAAAATTATTGCTGGAAATTATTATATCCTTGACTAAGAAGAGTATTTTATCCTTGACTAAGAAGAGAAAGAGTTCCGATTTGTATTTTGGCTAATAATAACACCAGAGAGGGAGGGAGAGAGAGAGAGAGCGAGAGAGAGGGAGAAAGAAAGAGAGACAGAGTTAGTAACTAAGATATTTCTAACTTGTTTTGTGTTATAATTGTGTCGTTATATTATGAAGTAGTTATCGTAGGGATACTGCTGCGCATGTTTTGATTTATTTTATTTCTGTCGTCTTCTACGACACCCACAGGATGATAGAGGGCAGTGGATTATCTCACAAGCTTATTTAATACATTTATGTTGCGAGAGTCCAAGGCCAAGGTAGGGCAATTTCAGAAAGACCTATGATCCGAAGTGGCTTGAAATTTCACAATGTGGCGGGGTAAGTGAACCCATCATTCTATATTTCATGCGTGTATCTAGATCTTATGGTTTCGCAACCTCAGATCTAAAATACCCCGATCAGCAGCGGGGAGCAATGTGAAAGGTGTGAGACATCTAGTACTTGGATCACCAACCCACCTGCTAAGTTTGATGTGTTACGTGGGCTTTTATAGGCTATTGTTTAGATAAACTTTGCATAGTATTTTTTTCTCGACTACGGAGGGTACCTAATGTGTTTATCAGCCTATGTACGTATGTTTGTATGTATGTTTGTTCATTTGTGGCGCCCTAAACCAATTGCATATACCGATTTTGATGATTCTTACGTCAATCGAATTGTCTTAATCTTGTGAGTGTTACTAAAGATACAACAGTTATCAAGTCAATATGGCGACAACCAGACGCCATATGGCTGGAAAAAAATGAACGAATGAAAAAATGTCGACGAACTATGTTAACTATCATTGATAAGTTCTTTGAAAATCATATTTTGGTTTCCCTAGAAATTTTTCATTTTGAATGACCATTTACGTTAACAAGTTAAAATTAGTTAGCGACCATTCTCACTTAAATTTTCAAAACTTATAATAAACTTAATAAAGTTCTTAAATAATCATGTTATGAGAATTATTAGTAATTTTGTTACGTATTCGGTTTTTTTTAAACTGTAATAACCTTGCTTGTTGATAATTACAGTCTATAGTACTCTATTTATTTTTACGTGATTGGTATCGCGAGGCCACGGGTTCGAACCCGTGCTGAAGTCTTTGCCGAACGCGGCGCTACGCCACGCACGCACTAACACCTGAGGCTTAATGTTTACGTAAGCCGAATTACTTATACAAATTTTATGTGATGTTTTAGGTCGTTGTCTTTTCAGAGTGCGATGGTTGTGCTAAAGCGTTGTATAATAAAATATTAGCTGCTTACCTCAGAGAGCAGGTCGGTAAGAATTTGCAACGGAGCTCGCGTTACACTTTCGTCCTGCAGAGGTGTGGTCATGACAAAGTCCACCATATTCTGTAAGCAAAGTAACATTTGTTTATAAATAAATTATGTAAACAAATTAAAATATATATATATATATATATATATATATATATATATATATATATATATATATACGCATACATGCTCGTCAGTTAAGGGTACTTCTAATGTTTTCCCATTTTCAAAATATCGCCAATTTGGTCGATAAACTTTTTTCTAGGGCGTCCCTTCCCTACTCGGCCGTTCACATCTGCCATATAAATTTGCTTTGTCACTCTTTCCTCATTCATTCTTTCTACATGACCAAACCACCGAAGCATTCCTTTCTTAATCCTGGTCACAACATCATCTTGCATACCACATTTTTCTCTTTTCTTTTTCATCACACAATTTATTATCTTGTCATTTAGATTCAACCCTAGCATACTCCTAAAACACCCGCATTTCTACAGCATTTATTATACTTTTGTACTTCTTCTGCCACACCCAACTTTCACTACCATACATTAAAGTAGGGATTAACACAGCTTTATGAATTAGGTACCATACGTGCCTTTTTACACATTCTGATTCTTCATAATAGAGTGTAGTGTCCCAATCACTCCATTTCCTGCATTTATTCGTCGTTCTATATCCTTATCATATCTACCATCCCTGCTAACACTACAGCGAATAACAAAAATAATAAATGTGTTAAATAGATACGTTGCCACCTTATGCATAAAAGCGTTATTTTGGCTTTAATTGTAAATTTCTCTGAAATTTTCACCCGATGGGCCCTAGAAGAAGGGAAAAAGTTTTTCAAATGTATGTATATGTATAAGCATTGTGTCTTATTCTTTGGCACACTTTGTAACTTTAATATTATGGAGTGACGTCAGATTCAGTCTTAGATATGGAGATGATATAGGGTGTATGTAAATGAAATATTTGTATTTTTTTCTTTTCAGTACACTTTTATAAGCAGACAGGTGTTTATATGTACACCCGTGTTCACGTCTTTTTATAAATAAAAAGGGTATATTATATAAGTTTTATGACAAGTTTTTATACTTTAAATATTCTTTCATTACATGCTCGCTTAAGGCGAGGATATCCCACATTAAAAGACGCTACCCTGACCAAAACCTGGCAAAAGTGCGTTTTTCAGACTCTATTATCTCATTAGTTATGAAAAATAAACTACATCTAAAAGTACATTATTAATGTTCGATATCTTATCATCGCATTCCACGTTCTAATTTATTTTTATGTGCTATAAATACATTTAAAATCAACTTTTAAAAAATGACTAAAATTCTTGATTACATGCATCTGTTGCTAAACGCAACGCTCTAATCATTTGAGGATAACACTAATGGATAGATAATGAAAAAATCTATATTCTCCACGTTTTATTTAAATTTTTAAGTTCGTTTTTTCTCTTTTAATTGAAATAATTCCGAAAATTGTGTGACTTCTATGATAAAGGGGCGTGCGCAGAGTGCGGGCGGCATTACGCTGTATGCGTTCATACGGGGTAGCCGCGTCGCTGGTCGCCGCGTTTTGTATTTCGCCGCAAACATAATATTATTTGAGTACCTACCAACCGATGCGCTTACGTCACGGTATATTGTAACTCGGCCGTATCTTAGAAATAAATGTTACAGCCGTGCGGTACATAAACATGCGATAGGGCTGCTGCTTCCAGTATTTTTACATTTGCCCATTGATTTATGTGTTTTATAACTCAATGCATTTTCCTACTTTGTGTTTCCATTTAGTTTTATGATTGTACTTAAATATACTTTTTTATATAAACAAATATAATAGGTACTTTGTGAATTGAATAGGAAGTGTTCAATAAAAATGCGTGTCGTTTTATGATTGGTAGATTTAATTAAAAAACCATGTTTATGTTTGAATAACAAATCGGTCTTATAAATTTGCGGCCGAAAAATATTTGTGCCTCGGCTGAGACGTACGAAATGCTTTATTATTAAAATTTTAAATATAAAAAATCCGCATTATAATATAAAGCTTAATTAAAAATTGTTTTGGGAAACATGGACAAGTTGGAGTAAAGGAATATCTTTTACTTGGTTATAGATACCTGCAGCTATTTTACAATTTATATGTTTGGTTTTAAATGAAGTTTGGATTTATTATTTTTTATTTCTATTCTATTTTCTGAAAGGGTCCTAGGAAAGGAATTATCCACCGCGCTGCCCCACTGCGTGTTGGCGAACTTTGCATGTCTTCGAAATATTATTTTTCTTATTTCTCAGACATGCAGGTTTCCTCACAATGTTTTCCTTCACCACTGAGCACGTGGTAAATCAACACTTAAAATTGCAATTACAATATTATTGGTGCCGGCGGGGATCGAACCCGGTTTGCTCGCACACTGTGAAAATTTTAGCAAGCGCTAACCATCTGAGCTACCACGGCTCCTCTCCTCTCGAGCTAGAGACTTTATTTTATTTATCGTCAGGCCTGTTGGTCTAGTGGTTAGTGACCCTGACTGCTATGCCGTAGGTCGTGGGTTCGATTCCCACCCAGGACAAATGTTTGTGTGATGATTTATCTATAATATTTATGTATTTAGAAATATATAAGTATGTTTATCAGTTGTCTATATACATAAATACAAAAATAAAATAAATACAAAAAATATACAAATAAATAAAGATCCAACCATATTAAATAAAAAATAGTCTCCTATCTTTCTCTCTATGTTTTGATCTCCTAAAACGAGTTTGAGTTGGTAAAATCAAGGCAAACTTAGGGTAAGGTTTGGAAATTCCGCGGTTTTATATGCGCAAGCGTGAACGTAGTTAGAACATAATATAACCTTTATATTTTACATAAATATCCTAAAAAAACTTATTATTTTAATATTTTACTAAGTACCTATAAAATTAACAAGTTTATTGCATTTTTATTTGAGTAATTTTTTATGCAATTTCTTTATCTACGTCTATTTTTAGGAACCTTTATTTAGTCTGAATCATACATAACACTATATTACTGATTTACTTACTTATACGTAGTTTTTTTTTGCAGTTACAAATATCTTGTGAGGTTGAAAAAGGTAGTAATGAAAAAATAATAAGAATAATAATAATTGACGTCAACAACCACTTTTCATATCATGGTCCATTAGGTTGCAGCTTCACCGAACCACAACTTATAATAATAATAATAACAATAATAATATTTTGTATTTATTTTATTTTATTGATATTAATGTATATTTATCTTTTCATTTTAATTTATAATTTTTATATATTTAAATATTTATATAACCGAACCAGATGAGAAAATTATACGGCTCCAACGATTTTAGCGACGAACGCTTGGATTTATTTTTAGAAAATGTCCTTTTGTCTATGTTTTCAGGCAATAAAAAAACTGCTACAATATAAGAAGGTAAATTTCGACTAATCGTTAACGGTCGTTATAGCTCAGGTGGTATGTCGGTCGGGCGTGATATCAGAGTTCCGTTGTTCGCGTCTTGGCTTTGGTCCCGCTTTTTTTTCCTTTTTTTCAAGTTCCCTTCTTTTGTGAGAAAATTTATTATTTCAAACCCTTTTTTTTTAGTATTTTTTTAAAATACGAAAATTTTAATTTTAAAAATTAAAAAAAAAATATCTATTTAGTTACTAATGCTATATTTATTATTTTAATAATCACCTACCCAGTAGGTAAATATTAAAATAATAAATGTAGCATTATAAACAGTAAATCTCCCTCAAACTCAATTTACTAATATTGCTCCTAAATAAGGAATAGCAAATAAAAGATTAGTAGGTAATAACTATTGCTCCTCAAAATTATATTTGACCTCAAGGTAAAACATATCCTAAAATTCAGTAGCTAAATAAAATAATAATAACTACTATTCAAGTATATTTTCAATATGTAAGTAAATGAAAATAACAAAAATGAAGCACCATTAGCATGTAAAGTTCGAATCCATAATTAATATTTCGACAAATATTATAATTTACACTATAAAAAGCTAATTCAATATTAGCAGTATAGTATATAGTTAAAAATAATCAAAATAGTCATTTTTATTAATTAGATAATATATTAGAATACATAATTCTAATATAATGCAACTAATATACCGAATAAAGAAAATTAAAATACATTTATCATTGTACGCCATGTCTATTTCCATAGAAGAGTTCATTGACATTGAAAAAAATAATACTACGTTCGTAGCAGTAGGTGGCGTCTTTTGGCCATTTCTTACGCGATATATTGTAGCGAGCGTCGACAGACCAAATGCTCAAGGTCGTTCGCTGGAGGTAGCGCCTTAAAAGACTTTTAGCGATTCTTTCTCCGCAGCGCGGCGTGCGTATTTGTTCAGTACGAAGCAACGTACGGACGTAATACAGTATTTTAGACACGATTTTGATACGCGATAATTGATGCTTTTTGAAATGTTATAATACTCATTTAAGCGCTTAATAGAATACATTTTTAAAATACTTTATATCAATCGTGATAAAAAATTATAACTTGTATTTGAATTAGATTCTTAATCAGCTACATTTTCATTTAGACTCTATATTCCTGATAATAAGCAAAAACTTGCCAAATTGAGTAACTTTTTGTTCATCGAATGTTGAACACTTACTTCGTGCTGAATTAAGCATGCAACGTAGTAAATCGCCTCGCTTTAAGCAATATGTTGTGATTACTATTCTCTTGATCAGTCAGTCATTCCGATCACACTTTACTAAAACTTAAAAACTATTTTTAAAAGAAACATTATTGAACTTAAGTGCATCACCAAAACATGCGATATATACTTCTTCTAGAATTATCTTTCTTAAGTTAGCTAAACAGTTTTACTGATAAGATTTTAAAATATATGTATTTAAATAAAAATAATAATAAGATTACGAACCTTGAGCTCTTTCAAAACCACTTCCTTCCGCACTGTTTTCGTTAGAAAATTGCGATATCTTATCATGTTTCTCTGTAACAAAATTACGTGTACAATTATAATAGAGTTGTAATTTCTTTTGCTTGTTAATTTTCGTTTAATTACCAATAGTACTTACTCTCCAAATTATAGAATAATACCACTGGTCTCTTGTATACGCGTCATTAGCCTGTAACAGAGAAATATTAATGTAGTAAAGAAATATTTGAATTTAAAAATAGATGAATGTAAATAGACAGTTAGATATGCAATCATTAGTAAACCTGCAGCAAGAGCGAGCCGTGCGGCATTACGATCCTCAGGCAATATTTCCTTGCAGGGTCCCAGCGCGATATGCAGTAAACCTCTTGCATGCAGCTATATGATAGCGCACTTTCCAGAAGACCGGATGGCTACATTAAAAATTACATTTTATATTAATTAAATTTATTTGATTTAAACAATTATGGGAATAATAATGATAAAATAATTGTAGCGAGTTAGACATCTATGTGGGTACATATTTCGATCGACATGATATGTAAATTATTACATTAGAATTAGTGATAAAAACTGTTTGTTAATCCGCTTTCCAAACATAGTGACCATGGCAGACCACCTTAACTAAATATTCCGGTATTCGCCCGATAGTTATATAATAATGTTGATTAGCATGATAAGTAAAAATTTGGTAACAAGTTCTAATAGCCTATCCTCCTGCCGAACTTTGTGATAATGGCAGCCCATCATAACTTGCGAGAGGGCTGTAACCTGGTATTAGATAGAATATGGTAACTGTAATATTGATGATAAATCGAAAATACTTAGATATAAAATTAATTAATTCAGGACTGACAATGATTATTATTATTTATATTATAAAATTGAGGGTGTTGTCAGTTGTCACCCTCACGTGTACATATTTCACCTGACGTTAAGCGGATGATGAACACATAAACCCCTACATCCATCCTCTAATAAAATTAATAATGAATACCAACGTAAAACAGCAGCTCGATGCTGCTGTGTTTCGTATGGTGAGTGTAGATCATAAAATACTATAAATACATACATAATGGGTTACATAATAGGTTGTCTGGAAGAAATCACTTTCAGAGTGATAATACTGCCTATTGTACATACTTTAATTTGTAATACTGTATTGTGGTGTACAAAAAAGAATAAATAAATAAATACATACATAATAGAACGGGGGAGTGGGCGGAGCCCGTGTAGCCACTTACATGTCAATTCACACGTATAAATGTCAACACAATTAATCGTTTCCAATTTTCGTTTCAAGCGTCGCTGTATGCAAATTATTTAAAAAATGGTAAATTTTGTAATAATTACCCGTCGAAAGAACAGCGGGAAATGGAGGAGGTTAAATAAGGGAGACATATTCTACAACCAGTAAGTCGAAACTATTTATATTTTGTGAATATTAGAAACAAAAATAGAGAAATATTTATGTGTCAAAAACATTAATCAAAAGTCTAAAATGTGTTTGTAGTAGTGATGACTTATATATACGACGTAATTGCTTGAATGTGTGCTCCCAGCGACGCCAATCCTCTTACAAAGTAAGGTTGACAGCCATTCTATTGTGTATTATTAGTATTTTATGGTGTAGAGAATCGGATACCCTTTTTACTGGAAATGAGGCATTCCATTTTAGTCCTCAGGAGCGGCAACGCGTTTACAGTTTAATTCTTGATCAAGGATAGATGTAGACGTCTATGGGCCACAGCGTCCGCTTGCCATAGGGTGGACTATGTGCTCGTTTGTCAGTCTTATTCTATAAAAAAGAATGCAGGTGCCTTGCCATAGCCAAGGCTGTAATGATGGATTGCCTCGTTACTGATAAAATAATCTCTCGTGCTGCAGTCCATAATACAGTTGCAGCGTTGCAGTTAATGAAAGTACACTGAACATAATACTGATAAAATAGGTTATAGATAATATAGATAGGCATTGAGATCTCTGAGGCGTAAATGTGTTCATCTTTGTATGACAAAAGAGATATCATGTCCACCTACGATCAGGTGGACATGTTATCTCTCTAGTCACTCTAATTGCTCTAAAAGTAAAGCAGTGATAACCTAAAATATGAGTGTAAATTGGGTCAACCAGCGAAAAGGGTGCAACGATCGGGGACGGTGTGCACGTTAGAATACGAACTGTGACGTTGTGGAGCATTGCCCCCGCGGGCCGGCCGGGCCGTGTCGAGGTTGTGTCTGACGTCAGACCCTCATCCCGAGCCCGACCGAGCCTCGCTCGACGCCCTTCTCTTTCCAAATTGAATTGTTCACCTTTGCTTATTACGCGTTATATGATTACGACTCCTATAATTTTTTATGGCTTTATTATAAATGTTTAATAAATAAAATTATGTGTCAATTTGAAATAGTCATCCGGTACACACATACAAAATCACAACGAAATAATATTTGTATTTTTATCATTATTATTACAGTCCATCACCATCACAAGTCTACTGCTGAACATATGCCTCCCCAAGGAATGTAACAAAGCACGGTCCTGACTCCTGCGTCACTTGCATATACTTTCAGCACAAAATTCCGTGTCGTCACTCCGTCTAGTGTATTACACTTCGCTTATCATTACCGGTTACAGGTATGATACTGCTACTCGAGGACCTTTCTTTTCCGTTCATCTAAAACTTGTAGAGACGGCATGAATATTCAATACCCTATATCGTCTTGTGGGTGTCATAAGAGATGACTGAGGGAAACTAACCAGAGGTGAGTAGCAGCGTCTTCTGATATATTATATTTAGAGTACAATTGAAAATAATAAAAGTCTGCGGTTGCCAACCCACTAAGAAGGCTTTATAACTCTTCGATACACTACGTCTTAGTATCGATTTCAGAAGCTATTCAGTGGAAATTATTTTGTTCTCTTTTGTTTTAAAATCGATTTTTATTTTACGATAAATTTATGTAAAAAGTAAAGTAATAATTTATTTATTTATTTTATATTTATTATTTATTATGTATGTGTGTTCGAAACACAGATTATTCAACCTAGTTCAGGCAGGTAGCTAATATTATAAATGTGACTGTGTACATTATTAAGCTACACATAGTTTTAATTTTTATTATTGCTTGTTATTTTTATTAGACTTGTTGTTACTTTATTTAACTGTAATCATAATTGTTCCTGTATGTAAACATGTGTAATTGGAAATGAAATAAAAAAATATAATTATTATTATTTATATTACAGCAATTATAAATAACAAATAAATTAATTAAATAAAATGAAAATAGTTTTAATTTTTATTATTGCTTGTTATTTTTATTAGACTTGTTGTTACTTTATTTAACTGTAATCATAATTGTTCCTGTATGTAAACATGTGTAATTGGAAATGAAATAAAAAAATATAATTATTATTATTTATATTACAGCAATTATAAATAACAAATTCAATAATTAAATAAACTGAACATAGTTTTAATTTTTATTATTGCTTGTTATTTTTATTAGACTTGTTGTTACTTTATTTAACTGTAATCATAATTGTTCCTGTATGTAAACATGTGTAATTGGAAATGAAATAAAAAATATAATTATTATTATTATATTACAGCAATTATAAATAACAAATTCAATAATTAAATAAACTGAACATACACAAACTTTCAAGAACAATTTGTTAGTAACGGATAGGTATTATGTTATCAATATGTGAACTAGGTATTATGTTAGTTGAGTAGATAGGATAGGGGTTTCAAAACTAATATAGGTAGGTATATTAGTTTTGAAATTGTTACATGAACATGTGTTCATATTCTTAACATCTCGGCTTTTTATGGCGAAAAACAAAATCTTGTATATATGAAAATTTATGATTTTTTGCACGCATGCCGGCTGTAATAAATAGATTGTGCATTAATCGTGCAAACTACGAAATTTAAAAAAAAAAACATAACGGGACAAAGCGAATAATTATATTAATTCATTGCAGACCCAACGCAACTCAATGACGTCAATGTGATATCAAACATTTTAGATTCGTATAAGTTAGCTACTGTATTGGAATTGACGCGAAGGTTGAATTTGAAAACACAGATCGTTGAATTCAAATTGCATACTTATACATGTATATTTAAATATGTTATATAACAAATTATTTTAAATTTTTATTTGTAGGTGCAAGTAACGCAACATATGTGAACAGGTATGATTTAATTTAAATAATAAGATACATACGAGCACACAGTCCACTTGCCACTCGTGAGGACTAAGATGGAATACTTCGTTTCTAGTAAAAATGGTCTCCGGTTCTGCTGCTATTTTACGCTGGTTTTCTGTGAGAGCGTGGTCCTTCCCCGGTCGAGCCGACCCATTCCTGCTACAACCATAATATAGCTGCAGCGTGGTTTTACCACGTAAAACTTAAATTTAAATCTACAGTCGTTTTTGAATTTACTATTCAAATAGACAATGTCGATGAATATTGGAATCAGCAATGTGTTGTACAGACATGAATACGGTATTTTTAATGTACATATTATCATTAGGTATAATGAAATTTGTTTTAAATGAAAATGAAAATGAGTTCAGATATTCACTATTTTTTTATTTACTTTTCCTCACTCATACGTCAAGCGCCGACTTATGTAAGTAAAAAAGAGTTCTTTAAAATAATATACATTTTTGATTTGTACCAAATGTCATTAATAATAATTGATACCTAAATATTATTTCGAACATCTGTTAAGTACTTAATTTCAGACGGCATTAAATGTTAGATTACGTAAATAGAAAAATGTCTAATGTGAACAAATTTTTAAGAGTATTTAATAATTTATCGTTTAAAGAATATTTTAATAATAATTGTTTTAAACATATACATAGTATAAAAGCTTAGGAAATATTTAAGATAATTTTATTTACCATAAGGTACGGATTTAAAAGACCGTATTTTTGTATCTCCAACAACGTTCAATATAGGAAATTGTACTTTCTTAGTCACACACCCGGAGATGCGTTTTCTCTCAGAAGGTCAGAACATTTAATCTCTTTAAGTGTAACGTAAATTATGTTTAAGCTGGCCCATAATTATTGACAGCTAAGATATATGCCTACAGCTATGACGTGAGTCACTCACAAGACAAAATCCAGTTAAGTTTTGTATGTTTTAAGAGAGATTCGTAAATGACCTACAGAAATAATGCGTTTCTTTTAGTTTGATCACAATTAAACAAAAAATGTTTTTAGTTTGATAAAAATTAATAAAATACAGTTTTAATATGTTAACTTTACCTAAGTTCATCTTAACCGTGAAGTGGCGGTGTAAGAATAACAACCTGATACAGGAAAGGAGCAGCAGCATCAAAACTGCTGGCACTGGCAAACAGCATCAAAAAATCCCGCTATGAGAC